ATTGAATATCTGGAGACTAGCAGAGCTGTCAGAAAGTTGATATTTTTCATTATTACTTGTGATTGCAGTAATCAGAATCTAATTGTTCTGTCTGCCTCCTTTCAGCTCTTCACTTCCTATCATTGCTGATACTTTTTCAGGAAAAGTAGACAATTGCTTGAACTCTTGTATTATGAGGTTTGAGGAGATTTTTTTTCAGGGCACAATCTTCTGCAAAGAGAAAATAATTGAATAATTCGATGTTGCTTGAAGGAGAAAACCGCGTGGCATCCAAATATGACATTTATTAGGGCGGCACGGTGGCTCAGTGGTGCCTCACAGTGCCAGGGACCCGGGTTCGATTCCAGCCTTGGGCGACCGTCTGTGTGGAGTTTGCACATTCTCCCTGTGTCCGCGTGGGTTTCCTCCGGGTGCTCCGCTTTCCTCCCACAGTCCAAAAACGTGCAAGCTAGGTGGATTGGCCATGCTAAATTGCCCCATAGTGTCCAGGGATGTTTAGGTTAGGTGGATTAGAGGGGGATGGATCTGGGTGAGATGCACTGAGGGTTGGTGTGGACTTGTTGGGCCGAAGGACTGTAAGGATTCTAAGAATTCTCAAGGAAATACTAATCATAGAATCACTAAATTCAACCTAAGTCTTGCTAGCCCAGATTAAATTCATGAGCTGATGTGATTAGAAATGAACCCATTGTAAGACAAATCAATTTCTTCATTGAAGACAAATTTCTTTGGTGACATGGCTACATACATCTCACGTAGTCAAGTTTCTCAGGGCACGGTACATCTCAGCTGTTGGCAGAGCAAAGTGGACCTGCACTCGGCTGTCTAGGTTTTGTGTGTTTACACAGCAATGTCAGCAGCTTTTTAGAAACGAACGATTTGCATTTCTAAAGCACCATCCATCCACCAAACCTCCCAAGTGCTTCTGACATTTTAGTCTCTGATAAACTGTAAGAACCATGGCATGCAATTGGTGCACAGCAACCTTTCACAAACAGCAATGTGATAATGAGCAGATGTTTTGTTTGCGATGTTGGATCGAGGGATAAGTATTGACCAGGACACTGGGAATAAGCCCTAAGTTGCTCTCCATAATAGTGTAATGGGACCTTTTTTGCCTTTATCTCTCAGAGGGCAAATGAGCAGGTTGCATATCGCATTGCATGGACAGTATTCCCACAGTGCACTGCTCTTTGTGCTGCATTGCAGTGTTGGCCTTGATTTCTTTTCTCAAATCTTGGAATGGAACTTAAAAGCACAGCCTTGTAAGTTGCGTGCTACCAAGACTGACACTCGAGCCCTGCAGAGCATCGTAACTGCTGGCCTTACCAGTGAGGTCTACATCAAAAAATCAGTGTGCAGGGGGAAAAAAAACTTTTTATTGCTTTGACATACTTTAGCTTGTTTTAGTTGTACACGGTATTAGTCACAGAATCGTGTTTGCAATGTCTTTCCTGGAGTGGCCTTGTTATGTTCTGAGTAGGCCAGTGACAGAGGTTTCCGATTTAAGCTCAAGCCAAAGTTCAGCTGCTGAAATTGCTTTGTGCTCTAGAGCTAATGGAAATGTGTGTCTGAGTCCAAATTTCCATTTTGACAGCAAATCTGCTTAATTTATCAAAATCTGATGAGCCATACAAGTTTGGTATGGATTTGTACTGGTGCCATTGAGCATCAGTAAGTAGGCCTGACTACTTAAAGGTCATGTTCCCACCAGCAATGAAGACTCCCTGGAATACCTTCAATGTACCACCTGTCCTTTAAAACTCGTCATTCACTCCTGTCCTCCATCCAGCAATGAACCAAGGTTTACTCTCTCCGATTTCTTTCTTCTTGCCTTCAGCCAATGCACTGAGTAACTTCTCACCATGGGTAATTTCAGTCTTCATCTGATTAAGAATTAGGAGCAGGCGTAGGCCATTCAGCCCAGTGAACTTGCTGTGCCATTCAGTACAAACGTGGCTGATTTTAGACTGTAGTTTCCCACCTGCTCCCTCACTGCCAACTACAATAGCTAACTGTCTCCCTCTATAAACCTCTGCTGCCCATATCTATGGCCACTCATCACCCTGCCATCTCCTGTGGCATATTTACTTCCACAATCTCAATCAGATCGAGGCCAGTTCTGTAAATTTATTTATTTCCTTTACTATCTATGATAGCCATAACCCTCCCACTTCCACACATTGAGCCCAATAGCAGCCTTTGTCAGTAAAATTGATATTGAATGCTGTCCTACCTTTGCTCCACTCCAAATCTACATTGCAAAAAAAAAATTCTTTCCTTCATGTCCTCTCCAAGCTATCTTGTCCAGTTTTACTTTCAGTTCTCTGTCATTGTTCTGTGCTGTGATTTGTCAAAAATACATTATTATCTGAGCACTCAGATCTGGTCTGCTCCCATTATTTCTCTGTCATATTCCAACACCACTCTCTCAATGTTCAATGATAACTTTTCAGCTGGTATGGGCTTTGTCCACTCTCCGGTTCAGTGGGACCCAATATTATAATTTTCAGAGTTTCAAACGTTCGCTCTAATTCTGAAATTCTGGTGTTTTTGTGTGTGTTTTTAAACAAAATGTGATTTGTGTTTTAATATTATTCAGATCCCTAAATTCATACCAGTTGCATTTTTAGTAGGAGGTGTTTCAGTTCTGAAACCTGACCTTCCCATAGTTCCTTTTGTCACACTTCAGTTATGTTGCAGTTTGGTGTTTAAAGCATTTTAATTTTCCCATCTTTGAGGTCGTAAGTCATGAGGTATTTCACATTGGTAATCTAACCAGACTTCCTGTTAACAGTGGGTTATGACAAATGACCTAGATATGTGAAAATGTGCATCACTAACTGACTGAACAATTGTAAAGAAGTTACAATCAATTGGATTCTGTGCTCCCAGGTTTGGATGGGAAAACAGGCCAGAAATCTTTATATCTGAAAACATGCAGGGTCAGTTGTGATGTCTCTGTACCTTTTCAACAGGTACCAAATGGCAACAGGCATGCAGTCATGTCCTGGTGAAGGAGAAACTGACAAGTGGAGGTAAAACAGTAGAAAGTTGTTTAGTGCTGGCGTTTATTTTCTGGAAGTTTCTAAGAAACTTTTGAAAAGCAAATTTTGATGCCTGCTCACAATTGAGTTCCTAAGGAGTTAAAGATATCGAGCCTATCATTGAGAGTAATTAACTGGTTCTTGTGCCTTTTCTAGCCTTAGAATTGTGAAGAGGAAGTCGGTGACCAGCAAAGTTTTAAACAGATAACAGAAAGTGGTGTGTGCAAAAGATTTCAACGGCTGAGCGACTTTGATAATGCAGCCGCTTTGTTTAGAAAAATACAAGCAGATTAGTTTTCTAGAAAGTGAACCAACTTGTATTGATGGAGCAGCTTTATTATCAGGCCTGGCTTTGTATTACCGGATGGATACTCCTTTTATATTGCAAAGAAAGGGAGTCATGACAAGGAAATGACAAAGCACAATATTTTGGTATGAAGGAGACTCCTTCTCTATATATGGTTAAACATTGGCTGTTGTGCTCTCCTCACGATTACATTTCTTGTGTATTGTGAGCCTGAAGAAGAGTGCTATATTGAGAAGCATTGAAAGAGAGTGTATATACATGAACAAGAAAGAATCTTATGCCCAGGCTGCTGTTTAGCCAGTCAAGAATCAGCAGTCACTTATGAAGTTGCACGAAATGATTCCTGTTTTGAAATATGATCAAGGTCATAGGGCATTTGTTTCCACAAAGGAATCCTGGAGTACAACCAAAAGTTCAGTCTTTTTAAAAAAAAAAGACTTGCAATCCCATGGAAAGAAGGAAGTGCAGTTTATTTATCCAATTAACATAACTGCTGATTGTCGAGGTTAGCAGTGCTTCTTATATATTGTAGACCAGTGCAATTTTTTTTGCCGCATTCCATTGAAAATGGACAAGTTGGTTCGAAATTTCCAGATCCCATGTTAAAAAAGAAGGAATGTCACTTGCTCAGTCAACAGGGCATTATCACATTGATCTCAAAGTTGACGTGTTGGACGTGACCCTTCAGATTGCTGGGGTGTTGATCAGTGGCCTGTCTAAACTTGACATGTAGATATTGGGTGCCCCCAGCAATCCCCACAGTGTTTGTCCCTGAGCACTTGTGTGCAGTGGAGTCAGTTTTCACATACAGGCCAACAACATTCAACTCTTAACTCTCTTGTCACTATGCTCCTGTGATCAAACAGTGCTGTCCAACTGGCTGAGCCACACTGGGGTGGGAAGAGCTTCCTTCAATTTGAAGCCAAAGACACACTGTTGAGTTGCTGCCAGAGAACCTAAGCCTTTACTCCCAGTGATATAATAGAGGAATTGATAGTTACAGCGCAGGAAGACGCTCCTCGGGCCATCGTGTCTGTGCTGGTCAGAAACAACCTATCTATTCAAATCCCATTTTCCAGCACTTAGCCCATGGCCTTGTATGCCTTGGCATTGCAAATGTACGTCTAAATACCCCTACAGTGTTATGAGGGTTTCTGCCAACTACCACCCTTAAAGGCAGTAATGGTAGTCAGAGCCAAGGAATTCTGCTCCTGACAATTTGGTCATATCTTGTGCTTATAAAACTCTGAATTTCCAATAACTTTACATCAGCAATATAAATAGTAAAGTGGAAACTCAGCTCTAAGAATGAAAATTAACAGGCAATATCAGTTATTTGACATTGAACTAAGGGTATCTGTAAAAGCAAGCACTTCTTGATTCTAGTATAGGCTTGACTATTTTAGATAATCTACTGAGAAAAGTAAGTTTAGAATTTAAAGAGAGATTATGAATCCCCAAACGACTGATTAAAGACTATTTTTCGAAGAATTTGAGCATCTCTTTTTCGAAAAGCAATAGTTCAATAGTATGTAGTGTGCAATTCTCACCTATGATTCTTCAGTGTAGAATCACTTGCATGCAAGGCTCTTTCTTTCTGAATGTAATATTTCCTCTTAACTCTGAGATTGCGTTTGCATTTACAGACTTTCACAGCCTGGTGTAACTCTCATCTCCGCAAGGCAGGAACACAGATTGAGAACATTGAAGAGGACTTCAGAGATGGACTCAAACTCATGCTTCTCCTTGAGGTTATTTCTGGTAGGTTTGCATTTGGTTTACAGTTTAGTGTCCGTGCACACACTCGTGCAATCTACATAAAGATCAGTAAAACTGGATACACCGAACAGTTCCAGATACTGACGGGAGCAGGTACCGACATTGGAAGAATTGCATTATATCTACAGTCTTTGAGTCTCAGAGTACTTCTAAAAGGTTACTGTTTGAGTTTATAAAAGCATTCAATCAAAGGATCATGTGTTGGTACCTCCTGGTTCAAAAAAATGTCCTCCTATGGAAACTGACAAATTCAATATGTATACTCAGGTTTTTAACCTGAGTCCCCTGTACTATCAGGGCTGTATTGTTGTTCTGAATTTGTGAGAGCTTCTAGTTATTCTCGCTGCAGTTCAGTTAGAACATAGAACATAGAACATTACAGCGCAGTACAGGCCCTTCGGCCCTCGATGTTGCGCCGACCTGTGAAACCAATCTGAAGCCCATCTAACCTAAACTATTCCATTATCATC